AAAGTTAGTATATTTGCTCTTCCATTGAACTAGAACCTTAGAATACTATAATTCTAATTAACACTCCCCTCTCTACAAATGTGTGTGCACATGCATACAATAGCGATATAAGATAAAATTCATTCTCTAACTTCTCTTTATTTTGAACCCAGATTGGAATTATGATTGTCATTTACAGTCCTCTAAATCTCTTAAATCTTCTCTCATATTTTCCCCCATCTTTTTATCCTGTGCTGCATTATGGATAATATCTTTAATTCTATCTTTTAGTTCACTAATTTTCTATTTTATTGAGTTTAATCGGATTTTCAACTTATCCATTGGGTTTTAAATTTCAATTCTTACTTTTTCCTATCTTCAGAAGTTTTATATTTCAGAAGTACCTGGCTGGTTCAGTCAGTAGAGCATGTGACTCTTGATCTCTGGGTTGTGAGTTTGAGTCCCAGTAGAGTGTAGAGATTACTTAAATAAATAAAACTTTTTTTAAAAAGTTCTCTATTTCAAATATTCTCAGCCCTTTTTCTAGTTATTTATTCTTTATTCACATTTTCAATCTTAACTTCCATTTTTTAAAAAGATTTTATTTATTTATTTGAGAGAGAGAGAATGAGAGATAGAGAGCACGAGAGGGAAGAGGGTCAGAGGGCGAAGCAGACTCCCTGCTGAGCAGGGAGCCCGATGCGGGACTCGATCCCAGGACTCCAGGATCATGACCTGAGCCAAAGGCGGTCGCTTAACCAACTGAGCCACCCAGGCGCCCTTAACTTCCATTTTTAAAAATATATTAAAAATTATTTTTTTCTGGGTCTGATATTTTCAATATTTGAAGTCTTTTCAGCTCTGATTCCGTTTTTTTTTTTTTCCTGGTTCTCGTTATGGTGCCATATTTCCTTGTATGTTTTGTGAATTTTTACTGTGAGCTTAAGTTTTGTAGAACTTTGTGAGGATTCTCTAGGTCTTAAATTCTTCCAAAAGATTTAAATTTGCCTTTTCCCAGAATCTTGGGAGGCACTACCAACTTGAACTGTGACTAATTTAAAATATAATCTTGGCTTGAGATTTTTGGGAGCACTTGGTAATGTTAATTTGGATCACAGCAAATCCATAATGGACAACTTGTGTTTAGGAATATCAGGGAAAAAATTTTTCCCGTCTAATAGTGCAGACTGAGACAGGTAATTTTTTTTTAAATTTTTTTATTGTTATGTTAATCACCATATATTACATCATTAGTTTTTGGTGCAGTGTTCCATGATTCATTGTTTGTTCATAACACCCAGTGCTCCATGCAGAACGTGCCCTCCTCAATACCCATCACCAGGATAACCCATCCCCCTCCCCCCCTCCCCTCTAGAACCCTCAGTTTGTTTTTCAGAGTCCATCATCTCTCATGGTTCGTCTCCCCCTCTGACATACTCCCCTTTTCTTCCTCTCCTGTTATCTTCTTCTTTTTCTTTTTTCTGAAAATATGTTGCGTTATTTGTTTCAGAAGTGCAGACCTGTGATTCAACAGTCTTGCACAATTCACAGCGCTCACCGTAGCACATACCCTCCCCAATGTCTATCACCCAGCCACCCCATCCCTCCCACCCCCAACCACTCCAGTAACACTCAGTTTGTTTCCTGAGATTAAGAATTCCTCATATCAGTGAGGTCATGTGATACATGTGAGACAGGTAATTTTATTTCTGTTCCCTTCTGTGGTGTTGTCTCTTTCCAGCTCTCTATGATGAGCATGTAGCCACTTGGTATTGCAGATTTACACGGTGGTCTCCCATTTTCCATGAACTCTTAGGTATCTCTGACCTTTTCTTTAGTCTCATGCACCCCACACAGCTATCAAAATGGAGCTCATAGGAAACAGACTGAAGGTTGTTGGAGGGGAGAGGGGTGAAGGGATGGGGCAACTGAGTGATGGACATTATGGAGAGCACCGGATGTAATGAGCACTGGGTGTTACATAAGACTGATGAATCACTGAACTCTACCTCTGAAACTAATAGTACACTGTATGTTAATTAATTGAATTTAAATAAAAAATAAATTTAAAAAATAGAGCTCAGTGTTACTGGTATTTGGTTAATTCCCTCAGGGCAAAAGCCGGCTTAAGTCCTTATTTACCTATCTGGATTCTTATTTTTGTTTAACTTTTTGGTCTCTGAGTATTTCTTAGATTCTTTTCATTTCTTTGATACACTTAAAAACAGTTTTTAAGTAGTTTGTGTAGTTTATTTAGTTGTTTTAATCAGGGGAGTTTTTTTATAGTGTTCATAGACAAATTGCCAGTAATAGATTCTTCAGTAGTTTTTGTAATTATGCTGAGTAAAATACATGGAATTTTTTTGCATGAATGAATAATTTTGTATATATTATATTGAAGCTGCGGTTTTTTCATTTAATGGTGTGTCTTGAAGATCTTTTCAAGTTATACGTAAAAGTTTTTTTATGTAAATAGCAATTTAGGTAATTTGAACCTTCTTATGTAAGACAACTAGAAAAGCCGAACAAAGTATAAATAGCATCTGACTGAAAGCAATAGCAAAGTACAAGATAAAGAAGAATTATTAGGTCAATGAGAAAAAAGGTTTCTGTCAGCTGACTAAACCTCTATTGGAAATTTTTACTGGAAATCTCACCCAAAGATTTTGCTTTCATTTTATTGGTCAACCAAATTGCAAGGAACATGGGAATTTTGTTCTCTTTTAGGTGTGTACATGGTTTCCCATGATGTTATTGTTTCTAATGAAATGGGAGAATAGGGGCGTCTGGGTGACTTGGTTAAGTGTCTGACTCTTGGTTTCGGCTCAGGTCATGATCTCAGGATTGTGGGATTGAGCCCCATGTCAGACTCCACGCTCAGTGGGGAATCTGCTTGGGATTCTTTCTCTCTCTGCCCCTCTGCCTCTCCCCTCACTCGTGTTTTCTCTCCCTCAAATGAATAAATAAAATCTTAAAAAAAAGAAATGGGAGAATAAATATTCTAGTGAGAGGCAATTGGTTAGACTCAAATATTTTTTTCCTTTTAAATTCAGGAAAAATTTCAGGGCACCTGGGTGGCTCAGTCGGTTAAGCGTCCACCTTAGGCTCAGGTCATGATCCCAGGGTCCTGGGATCGAGCCCGCATTGGGCTCCCTGCTCAGCAGGGAGCCTGCTTCTCCCTCTTCTCCCTGCTCCTGCTCTCTCTCACTGTCTCTGTCCCTCTCAAATAAATAAATAAAATCTTTAAGAAAGAGAAATTCATGAAAAATTTCAAAAACCAAAACTCCAATTTGTGTTTTTATTGGAGTTCATCAATTTTATTTATCTATTTAGAGAGAATTGATACCTATGTCACCCAATTTTTCTGTCACACAATTTAATTACTGATTTTTGTTGTTAAGTTGCTTTTGGTGTCATCCATGTTTGGTTCATCTTATTTTCCATACTGTCTTTAATAGCACTTAACCTTAAGTATGTAATAGTTGATGAATAGATACATGAAGGAATATATAATCCTAACTCCTTATTTTTCAATGGAAATGGAAAGATATCTGTTGTAAATAACATTGTTCCTTCCCTCAAGAAGGTTATAACTGCTGTTATACTATTGTTAACTCTTTAGAGGTAGATAGGGTATTTTAATGCTGTGATGAAAGTATTTTCTTCTCAGAAAAATGCACATATGAATTCCTACCAAATTTTGCATACCATTCTAGGGGATTCATAGGTATTTTGTTTTACTCAGATATTTTATTTTTTTTTAAGATTTTTTAATTTATTTTTTAACAGATAGAAAGACAAAGCGAGAGAGGGAAGACAAGCAGGGGGAGTGGGAGAAGGAGAAGCAGGCTTCCCTCTGAGCAGGGAGCCCGATGCGGGTCTCGATCCCAGGACCCTGGGATCATGACCTGAGCTGAAGGCAGACTCCTAACGACTGCGCCACCCAGGCGCCCAACTCCGATATTTTAAATGTCCATCCCTGGATCCCAACTAAGCAAACTTTGCTTCAGCAAGGTCTCAACCTTGGCACACTGGAGCTTTTGGTATTGCTATGGCCTGGATATGTCCCCCCAAATTCATATGTTGAAATCCTAACCCCCAAGGTGATAATAATAGGAGGTGGAGCTTGTGGGAGGTGATTAGGCCGTGAGGGTGGAACCTTTATGAATGGGATCAGTGCCCTTATAAAAGAAGACTGAGAGCTCCCTTATTCACCTCTGCCATATAAAAATACAGCAAAGATGCAGCCAGTCATCTGTGAACCAGGAAGCAGGCCCTAACCAGACAATAAATCTTCGAGCACTGGGGCGCCTGGGTGGCTCGGTCGTTAAGCGTCTGCCTTCGGCTCGGGTCATGATCCCAGGGTCCTGGGATCCAGCCCCGCATTGGGCTCCCTGCTCCGCGGGAAGCCTGCTTCTCCCTCTCCCACTCCCCCTGCTTGTGTTCCCTCTCTCACTGTGTCTCTCTCTGTCAAATAGATAAAATCTTAAAAAAAAAAAAAAATCTGTGAGCACCTTGGACTTCCCAGCCTCCAAAACTGTGAGAAATAAATTCTTGTTTATAAGCCACCCAATCTATGGAATTCTGTTACAGCAGCCCAGACAGATCAGGACAAGTGTATAGATCTGATCTAAAGTCAGTTCCACCATGATCATAGTTCCACCACTATAAAGACTGCTGTAACTCTATATAGGGCAATAACTCCTTCATGGAAAGATCTTGGGATGTTATACTTGTTTGTTGATAAGAACCCAGGCAATTCATGGTGACTCCTTCCCTCTTTCTGGCCCTTGGAATCCAGAGGACATTGTCTTGTCTCTGCCCCTCATCAGACTGTATTATCTATCCTGAGTAACCTAGAAAAATCAGAATTAGGATGAGCACACATCTCAGCTTCTCTGGGACAGTCTTGCTTTCCACCTGTTGTTCGAGTGTCATTTTTAATAGTGCTTCCTTTCATTCTCAAAGTGTCCCAGTTTGGATAATAAATTACACAGTCACCCTACTCAGAATGAGCAGGCTTTGATCGATTTTAGCTTTATTTCTGGTCAGCCACGTGGATTCCATTCTCAAGCCCCACCCTTCCAGTATTCCCATTGTGCTAACTCTCCTCTTCCTCATTCTGAGTCCAGACTCTGATCTGCCTGATCAGGAGCCAAGACTTTTGAGATGCTAGCACAGTCAATCGTATACAACTCAACTCCTCCACAGAATCTTCTTCATAAAATACCCTCTGGTCCAAATGTCCTTCCACCAGTGGACCTAGTAGGGTATAGCGGGCACAGCCTCTGGAATCCTCTAAGGGATCATAGCCAAGTTCCACTTGTCCCTGCTGTAGCCAGTACAGCCCTTGTTTGTCAGAACCTGTCAACACCTCTATCCGGATGACTTTCTGTGGCTTCTCCAAAATCACTGTCAGGTAGTTGCCTTCTATAGGATCGAGGACAGAGTAGCACTCCTTGTTCAGAATATAAGCATACTGTGGAATAATATTCAGTTCTGCCATCATGTCAGTGAGGACATCGGCAACAGGGTTGTCTGGTTCATCAAAGACCTCTTCCTTCTCCACAGGAAAGCAAGTGTCCTCAAACACAGAATAATTGCCCATGTGGTAGAAGACCGAGGGACTGAAACGAATTGGAACATTTTGGGCCAAGAGTAGACGGAATTCAGAGAGAAACAAATGAATGGGAATGTTCTCATGGAAAAGGAGAAAGAAAGAGGTCAGGCGGGAGAGGTCACTGTTGTGGAACACTTTCCCAGAGAGGCTCAGGCTGGAGAACTCTAGGATCACCCAAGGTAGTTCTTTCCAGGCTGATAATACCCAATAGATGGTAGAAATAAATTTGGGGGTGCAGTGCACATAATCTTCTATCATCAGAAAGTATTCAGAAAGGTTGAGAGCGAAGTTCATGAGGAGGACATAATTGACTTTCTGCCTGGAATAATGCGCTTCACAGGGTGAGGCGTGACTAACGTTATTCAGATCTCCTGGGAGAGGGGAGTCACTGAGACCACCATGGATCACGAGCAGCTTCTGGGCCTCGATGTGTGGTTTGAAGAGGCTTGAAATATTGGCAACCGTTTGGCTGAGCCATTCGGGATCAGGATCCGACAGGTGGACCAACACTACGATACAATTCAGCTCAGGTTCTGAAGAAGCTTGGAAAAGGGACTGCAAGGTGTCCAAGAGGTAGCTCCCATGAAGGTGCTGCTCTGAGGAAATCCCCACCGTCAGCAGCTCTAGGGGTGGAGGGAGAGAAGGGAGCCTTTACCACTTGCAGATGGGGAAGAATTCCTAGGTCTCTCCTCTCAGGTCTTCCCCTTAATGCCATACCTGTGATAAATTCACGTTTCCTTTCCTTGGAAGAGTGTGGTCCAGATATGAGGTTAATCTCTGGTTAGAAGTTGTGAAGTGGTTTTATTTTATCACACCCTTAAACGGCTATTGGCAGAAACTTTATGAGGAACAAGTCTCCCTCTGATGGGGGAGGCTGCCATGTACTAAAGGTAAATTTCTTGGCTTGGCCAGTTAACCAGGCCTTGACCTCAGAGTTATCTCAGCTACTGTGGATCAATCAGACCTGGATTAGAGGATCTCCAGGGACCTACACAAAGCCAAGGCTTCTGGTAGTCTAGTGTACAGCTAGTCAACATCCAGCCACCCTTTTCTTCCTCTACCCAGTGCTTTTTACCATAGCTCTCCTCTCCTCTCCTCCTCTCCCATTCTGTCTTTCCCCCCCACCCCCCGGGGTGCTGGACATGAATGAGCTTCACTATGGGATGGCTCCTTAACAGGTCACTATGGAC